CTAGTAAGAAAAGTTAAAGTTTAACCATATTACTTATTAAACTGATAAAAAGGTGAGTGCTTTTTTAAGCAAGAAATAAATTCTATTTGGCTTTTTCTATTAACAAACTGTTTAAGTTAGAAATGAATTCTATTTGAAAAGTTCTATATGGCTATAGTCTACATGTATGTCTGCTTCATTCACTATGGAGAATAACAACCGGTTAACAACAAAAATTACTAAAACTGCTTTTTTGACCTCCTAAAATGAATTCTTGTAAGTCATGGTTGACCGATTGGAAAAAAAAAGAGTTTTGAAAAACAAGTTTTTACAAATAATCAGAATGTAATTTAGGAAATGCATATACTAAAATTTCCTCAAATCATTTTAATTTTGAAAAAGCCTTTAAAATAACTTTATTGTTTACACAACTTTAATTCGCTTCGTTGACGAATATTATACATGGTGTAAACTATCAATTTTTTGTTTTACTTATTTCGGCTACTTTTATTTTACTGGTGAAAATCTTTTTTTTATAAATGATTGAAGTAAATTTCATAAATGATTGAACTTCTTATTCTATTATTGGTTTATTAAAAATATTTAATATATAGTTTTAATAATAATATATTATATTTGCTATATTTAGCTAAAAAATTTTTTCAACTGTATGTAGTCACTACAGACCTTCCCCGGAAAGGCGTGCGGTCACTCGCCTAGATTGTCCACACATAAATTAATTCTTTTAGTCAAACTAATGACGGCAATAATTTGCAGAAAAGCAAAACTTATCCACAGAGAATAAGGAAAATTAATAAATAAATAAAAAAATTTGCAAATTCTTTATACTGTCTCTTTTTTTTTTTTTGGGTTGTTAATTTTAGGTATGAAATTTGACACCATTCAAGGATAAAATAACAATATCATAAACATTTAACAACAATAAAAAGACTTGATACATAATTTACTCACGAATTTCATCAGTCAGTATATTAAGAAACTAATTCATTATTTATGCTGCTATGAGAAATTTAGTAAAATTTTTATTTTATTTAGTTTTTAAAAAGGTTTTTGCTATATTTGATTTTATTTCTAAATACTTCGTCAAGCTAAAAAATAAACTGTTATCTATTATTAAAATTTTATTAGAACTTTTAAAAATAACAAGATTTACGCTTATTAATCATTATTTTATTGTCGCAATCAACTAATTGTAAAATTTTGTAATTACAAAACAAGTTTAAAAAAATAATAACATCCTTTCTTTTAAAAATGTATTTACTACATTTGATGCCTGTTTGAAATTGTTTCCTAATACTGCTTGATTGTCCAAGGTAGATATAAATTACTAGAGATATTCAGAAAATAAACTCCTGGTCATATTAGTGAATATGACCAAATATTTTATATTTAAACATTATTACTAAAAGTTTATTATATTTTGATAATAAAATCTTGTTACATTTAAAAATAAAAAAACATATTTTACAAATAAATAGCATTTAGTTTTCTTGCTTACTTTTAACTTTTAACTTGCTTACTTTTTTTTAACTAAATAAACTTTTTTTAAATTTAATTAAAAAAAAGCTAATTTCTTAACATTTTATATTGTTGCAAACTTTTTGGTTATACTCTTGGGTTTGACACCATCATACAAGAATGTATTTTTATCAACAACCTTCACTTAATGTGAAAAAATAAATGAAAATAAAGTGCTTTTGAAAAATTACCTCAAGAGACAGCTGTTAAATTTTTGAAAACCATATATGTAACACAGTGGAATGCAGGCTTCATATTTTTTCATATTTTGTTTTCCTTTACAGATATTGTAGCTTGATTATCTCAAATATATCAAACACAATATCAGACAAAGTTGCAGTTAACCTCATCACAGGTCTTGTTAAAAAATGCTACAATATGCATTTGAAATGACAATTTAACCTACAGATTAAGAGATTTCACATCTGTTACAGATTTGGGCTCATATCGGCTTGTATATTTTAACTCCAACAAAACTCTTATTTACGGCAAACAACTATTGCAGCACTGTTGACATTCCTATATTAATGAATGGCAACCCTCTCACTGAGTCCTCTTCTTTACATCTTCTTGGATTACTATTTACTACTGATCTTTCATGGAAACCATATATACAATCAATTGCTAAATTAGCATCTGCTAAGGTTGCTTCTCTTTTTCTTGCTCGCCATTTTCTCTCTCAAGATTCCTTTCCCTAAAAGTCTCTTATTCATCCCTGTACAGAATACTGTTTTCATATTTGAGCTGGTTCTTCTAATGATGCTCTTTCTCTTCTAAACAGGGTCCAAAAATGTATTGTAAACATAGTTAGACACGCTCTATCTACTAAGCTTGAGCTTCTTTCCTATCATCGTAAAGTTGCATTTCTTTTCTATAAATACTTTCATGGTTGCTACTCAAAGGAGTTATCTCTAGCTCCATCAACTAAAACTCATTCTCACTTGACTAGTCATTCAGCAAAGTCTCATTCTTTTCCTGTATCTGTCCCTGCGTGGTCTAAATACTTTTAATTGCCTAGTTTTTTTCCCCGTACCTCAATCTTTTTGAGCTCTCTCCCATCTTCATGTTTTCAACATTTCTTGTTCTAGTCAACCATTTCTTTGCTCTATAACTCTATTCTTTTTTTCTAGTAACTCCCAACTTAAAAGTGGATGCTTGCAGCCTTGGTGGGAGTGAATCAGAAAAAAATAATAATAAAAAAATAATATTATATATTAATATATTTTTATTTTTGTTATTATATTTGTATTTAAAATATATAAATATATATTTATATAATATATATTTATATATATATACATATATATTTTTCTGATTCACTCCCATCAAGGCTGCAAGCATCCACTTTTAAGTTGGGAGTTACTAGAAAAAAAGAATAGAGTTATAGATCAAAGAAATGGTTGACTAGAACAAGAAATGTTGAAAACATGAAGATGGGAGAGAGCTCAAAAAGATTGAGGTACTAGACAAATAAAAGCTTTTTTGACTAACTGGCAAAAAAAATTATTTTATCCTTAACCCTTTAACCCTGACTGGCAAAAAAACTATTTTATCAACTTATTGCTTATCTCACATTTGGGGTGGGGAGGGAGAAGGGGGTGGGTGGATGAAATTTTAGAGCTTTTTTGTTCCCAGCCTCCAATCATCACAATTTTTTGCAAAGCATCATTATTGGACATAAGTAAAACAAAAACCAAAATATTATGGATCCGTCACTGACATCTTGTCATCTAGTAAAATATTTTTTTTATTAATTTTCAAAAAGTATTGGTTTTAAATTATTGACGATTAAAGACAATTAAATAACATAAAATTCTTAAATTGGATATAATACCAAATGTTATATATCATTAGAAATTAAATCTTAAATAATTCTAGAATAAGTAACGAGGCTTTAAAAAACAAAATTTTTATATAAGGTTGTGTTCAAAAAACTTTAGTCAAAATTTTAAATGACAAACCAACAAATTATGCTTATTAATATTTTAGTTTTTAGACTGCATATAATAATCTGTGTTAGATTGCTGGTTGATGAAATTATTAAATTGCCTTAAGATAAAAACTTGTTTAGGTTGTGAAATCTGTAATGAGTATTTGGAAAAAATGAAGAACAAACCACTAGTGTTTGATGGAAAATTTTTAAGAACATAGAAGAAGAGTATAGGAAGAGAGTTCTTGATGATAGACTAGAAGTATCAGTTACAAGTTTTCATCAAACAATCATTCACTTATTTTGGTTGTTCTTATGTACATTGGAAAAGCTATTGATAGGGCTATTTTATTCTAGAATCTGGTAAAATATTTTAAAACATCAGAGAATAATAATGGCATGTGTACTGGCAAATCAGTTTCAAACACAGAAAAGAAATCAGGAGCAATCATAACACTAGTTAGAATTTTTATGGCTCTTGTGTTAGCAACATATTGGTGAAATCCAGATAATATGGGACATCATATATTTTAAAGAGCAAACTGTGGAACCTTTTCTACAGATATATAAAGATTTAAAGCAGACTTAGTCAGATAATTATTACTCTCTTGTTAGTAAAGGACGAGCTCAAAAGATAAATAAAATTGACTTGGTAATTCAAGTGATCTTTAAAGTTTGTATCTCAAGTCTAAGAAACTCGTATTATATGTCCTTTTATGCCCAAGAGTTTAGTTTGCACCAACCTGGTTTTAAACATAATGCCAGGATTATGTGTTACAAAATTACTAGCATAAAGTAGCTACTTATATTCCTTATACCAACAAAAAAGAATTAAGCTTAGAGGTTCCTGGGGGAATACCCATCTTAAAGTCCATCAAACTTGGCCTTATCCAAGAAGTTGTTGATATGCCCCACAATGAAAATCAACCCCAGAATATAATGCTGGTTGTCAAAGAGCACAGAAAGCTTATCCTCAAAAAAATGCAACAGTCTGAACTCATGTTAACTAAATGCAGAGATAATAAAAAATAATTGTAGTCAAGTGACGTTTTAATGTATCTTTGGTAAAGAATACATTCCCTTCATAAAAAAAAGTTTAAAATGTTTTATTTTCATCAAAACTCATTTTTTCATTAAAACTCAGTTTTTATTGTCCGATCACATCCTAACATAACTCTAAGATGCAACTCTATTATTTCAGGGTTGTCTCCATAATTTTGGAATAAATTCTTTGATTTTTCCCAAATATTTTGTTTATTTTTCACTGATATTTCCACTATTCAAATTTGCTAACTTAGCATTAAAACTTTGTTGTTTATTATTTAGTTCATTGTCCACTCTCCGTGTAAAAAGCAAAACTAAATAATGCCATATTTTTGTTTTAAATAAAAAACTTATAAATTGTTAAAAATTCGATACATTATTATATATATATATATTAGTTTATAGTAGTTATATTAATATTATAATTCCTTTTGCAGTATATTGTATAATTTGTAATATATAACGTTTTTTTCAAAAGTAAACATTAAAAAAGTGCATAAAGGCTTACATGCGAACGCCTCCATGAATATTTTTTCAAGTTTTTGTTGTATGTTTTTGTTTTAGTAATTTTTGATTTTTTATTTGTCACATTGTCGGCCATTACTAAAATTAAAAATGTATAACGACATTTCTTAGAAATTTTATGTTTTTATTTAAATCGTCACAGCTCAAAGTCGGCGCTATTTAATTAAGCTTTTTAACAGCTTAACAGCTCAAAGTGGGCGGAATTTCGAAAAACCCGGCCCAAAGTTAGAAAATATGTGTTTAGCATTTTTTTGAATCCCTGACATTTAATTTGGACTTAAGTGTTACAAAACCTCCTGGATTCAGCCTGGATTCAGGCTGGATCCTGGATTCAGGCTGGGATGGAAGCTTTTATTCCTTCGCGTCTGTTTCAAGTCAAGCCTCATTCTACTCCATGGTTTTCTCCTTCTTGTGCGGCTGCTATATCCAATCGTAATCATTTTTTTTCATCTTTTTCAAAAGAACAACTCTCTTGAGAACAAACGGCTATTTGTTTTTGCAAGAAATCGATGTAAAAAGGTGCTTTCTGATGCTAAACTCCATTATTCTCAGTTCACTAAATCTCGCATCTTATCGCAGAAGTTAGGCTCTAAAGACTTTTGGAAAATCTTCAACAGCATTGTTAACAAGGGTAGATCTAACATTCCATCTCTCATTCATGGGACTGATCTTGTTACCTCTCCCAGGGATAAGGCAGAACTGTTTGCAAAGAACTTTTCTTCTAATTCCACTCTTGAATCTTATGGACATTCTCTTCCTTCCATTCCAGTCAAACAGGTTGACCCATTGTTAGACATTCAAATCACTCCGGCTTCTGTTGCTAAAGTCATATCTCAATTAAACTCGTCTACAGCTTGTGGTCCAGACAACATTCCTGTCACAGTCTTGCAGAATTGTTCTCCAGAACTTTCTTCAATTCTCTCTAAACTATTTAACAAGTGTTTGACTGAGTCTTGTTTTCCTGCTTGTTGGAAAATGGCATCTGTGGTTCCAATATTCAAAAACTCTGGAGAAAATTCTGACCCCTCCAATTATCGTCCGATCAGTCTTCTTTCTGTTATTAGCAAGGTCTTTGAGTCTTTGATCAACAAATTCCTCACATCTCATCTTGAGTCAAATAAACTGCTGTCAGACAATCAATACGGTTTTTGATCCTCTCGCTCTACGGCCGACTTGCTAACTGCTGTAACTGAAAGATTTTATTGTGCATTAGATGGAGGCGGTGAGGCCAGGGCTATTGCTCTCGACATATCTAAAGCTTTTGACAAAGTTTGGCATGCTGGTCTTCTCCATAAGCTTGCTTCATATGGTGTTTCTGGGAAAGTTTTTGAGATTATCAAATCATTTCTTTCTAACCGGTTTATTAAAGTCATCCTTGAAGGCCAACACTCTTCTTTATTTCCAGTAACTTCTGGGGTTCCCCAAGGTTCCATCTTGGGCCCTGTTTTGTTTTTTATCTACATAAACGATCTTCCTGACAACCTTTCATCTAAAGTAGCTCTTTTTGCTGATGACTCAACTTTATACTCCTGTCTTGACAAAAAGTCTTCTCTTTTCGATCGCCTAGAACAAACAGCTGATCTTGAATCCGATCTCACTTCAGTAATAGATTGGGGTTCACATTGGCTTGTGAATTTCAACTCTAACAAAACCCAGTTGCTTACTGCAAACAACTACTGTAATATGGTCAACATTCCTATATTAATGAATGGCAATCCTCTTACTGAGTCGTCCTCTTTACGTCTTCTTGGATTATCGCTTACTACTGACCTTTCATGGAAACCATATATACAACCGATTGCTATATTAGCTTCTGCTAAGGTTGCTTCTCTTTATCGTGCTTGCCATTTCCTTACTTCTGATTCCATTCTCTACCTCTACAAATCTCTTATTCGTCCCTGTATGGAATACTGTTGTCATATTTGGGCTAGTTCTTCTAACGATTCACTTTCTCTTTTTGACAAGGTCCAAAAACGCATTGTAAATGTTGTTAGACCTGGACTATCTGCTAAGCTTGAACCTCTTTCCCATCGTCGTAAAGTTGCATCTCTTTCTCTTTTCTACAAATACTATCATGTTCACTGCTCAAAGGAGTTATCATCTCTAGTTCCATCAACTAAAATTCATTCTCGTTTTACTCGTCATTCAGCTAAGTCTCATTTGTTTACTGTATCTGTCCCTGCATGCTCTAAAAACTTTTATTCATCTAGTTTTTTTCCCCGCACTTCAATCCTTTGGAACTCTCTCCCATCTTCATGTTTTCCTGACTCATACAACCTTCAACTTTTTAAGTCTTCTGTCAACCGTTTCCTTGCTCTATAACTCTGTTCTTTTTTTTTCCTAGTAACTCCCAACTTAATAGTGGTTGCTTGCAGCCTTGTTGGGAGTGAATGCAAATTAAAAAAAAAAAAAAAATCAATAATAGCAAATCCAAAATGGCGGTGTTTTAAAAAAAATAATCATAAGAAATGCATTTGGACCTTCGTTTTTTATCATTTAATTTCAATTCGACATTTGAGTTTAATAAACTAATGTAGCCGTATTATTATGAAGCGAATGTTTAAAAAAAAAATTGAAAAATTATTTATTGATTCTATTTATTTATTTATTTAAAAATGAAAAGTTTTGTTTGCATCATTTATCATAATTGTTAAAATTGTATTATTTTTAACGTAACCCTTACTGTCATTCAAGATCAGAATCATTTATTGCTGAAATAATGTCGATAAATTCTATCACAAGCAAATGAGTTTCAGAGTTTTTGTTAATGTCCGGGGGTAACATAAATAATATTTGTAAAGCTTGCAAAGGCAAACTTCTGTTGGCTTTTGCATGTGATTTTACGAGTGAAGAGATTGCAGAATCTGACTAAATCAGAAGTCAGCAAAAAACGTTATACATTGTATTTTTTCTGGAGTTTTTCCTAAAGAAATCCTTACTTAGTTTTTTCTTAGAGAAATCCTTAGTTTTTGTTTCTCGATTCCTGTGCATCCTCAGGTAGTTGTTTTTGATCTTGTACTTCCCGCATCAGTACTTTGAGAAAACCAGGCATGACATTTTGGAAGTGCATTAGGAAAAACACTGCATCTAACAAAATACAGGAGTCTAAGGTGAGTGTAGGTTTTGTAGTTGGAGTAAGTAGTTAGTTACTGAGCTCACACTGCATTAGAGTATAAACAAAACACAAACAAACATAAATCAACTTACGGGTGAGTCAACACCGCGCCAGAGGTTCAGACAGAACACAAACATACATAAAAAACATAAAGTAACTTACGGGTAAGTGAACACCGCGCCAAAGGTTCAGACAGAACACAGACATACATAAAGAACATAAAGTAACTTACGGGTGAGCGAACACCGCGCCAGAGGTTCAGACAGAACACAAACATACATACAAAGTAGATTACAGGTGAGCTAATACAGTAACTAAGGCACCTCCAACTATATGAAAAAAAAAAAAAAAAGTTATTATTGACCCCAAACCCGGAAAAGAGTTTAGAAATCAAGACAACAGAATTATATTTAATTCAGCTCTCTATTTAAATAACATATTATGCAAAAACAAAACAAAACTACCTCTGAACTCAAATCCGGGAGTTTATCAACTTAAATGCTCACGCGGAAATATAAATTATTGGTGAGACCAAAAAGAAAATCATTTCAAAAAGTGCAAAACACCAAAGAGTCTGTAAAAATCGAAATTGGTCGAGTTCAGAAGCCACGGAACATTCTAAAACATGCCGTGGTAACTTTGATTGGCTAAATCCTAAAACTTTGCAGTCGTTCCAGAATACAGAATAAGAAAAATTAGAGTAAATTAGATATGAGATATGAGGTATTGGGCAAGCTATTCTAAATTAAGATGACGGGAATAATGTTAAAACAAAACCTTTGTCAAAATGACCCATTTTGACAAAGATTTAATTGAGGTCATTATTATATTATTTAATTGATTTTTATATTTTACGCCTTTTAATGTCTTTTTTTTTAAACGGTTTGTTTTATGTTATTTTGTCACGTTTTTTCATTACCTGATGACGCTGACCACAATAAGTCAGCGAATATATGCATATATATATATATATATATGTATATATATATATATATATATATATATATATATATATATATATATATATATATATATATATATATATATATATATATATATATAATATTTGCACGTATATATAATATTTGCACGTATATATAATATTTGCACGTATATATAATATATTGATATATACACATATATCTATCTATCTATCTATATATGTATATATATATACAACACACTTGAGGTGTGTTGAGTTTTAACTAGGTAGAATAGATAAAACAATGACAGATAGACAATTGGAAAGACATTAAACATATCTATTGATACTTAAAATAATAAAATATTATTATTATATATATATATATATATATATATATATATATATATATATATATATATATATATATATATATATATATATATATATATATATATATATATATATATATATATAATATTAATATAGATACTAATAGTTAAAATTTATGCAAAATACTTATTTTGCTACTAATCATGCAAAATACTTATTTTGCTACGCTAATATATATACCTAAAATGTATTACTTAATTTAATAAATACTCTTTGCAGATATGTTTATAGTTTAACTATTGTTTGAGAATTTAAAGTTGTTTGTCGAAGTAAATGGGCAAATAATAGACTTGAAATATCTGTAACTTTTCAACATCACTTTTTAATTTCTATTTAGTTTAAAATATTTTGAAAAAAAATTATTTTTATTCATTCTAAGTATACATGGGCAAGGAACCCAAATTTTCTGGTGGAGCTTGTTCCCAGGCTCCAATCAATCTACCTTTCTGTAAAACATTATTATTTGAACATCAAAAATCCAGGAACTGTTTTGAACAACGAAAATCCAGGAACTGCCTTTTAAATCCCCCTCCCCTCTCTTTTTTATTTATTTTTGTAGCATATCAACAGAATATTTTTAAAAATTTTACTATAACTGTACAAGGTGAGGTGGTTTCAAAATGTAATCAGTTTCT